CTGCTTGGGTGTGAAATGTAATAAAAGGGTTCTCTAACCATCCCCCTCAGGGAGCCTATTAAAAACAGTATTAGAGTGCCCAAAGTACTTTGGCCTTCTGCTTGCTTATAACCCTACAGAATTATCTTTTCTCAGGCCCCATCAATTGTGGACCCATCAGCTTTGACAGCTAATAGAAGTAGAAGCCATACGAAAGTTTTTGCACTTGCTGTGAAATTCCCACAAAGAGCTCCAATATATCTCTTAATGACCATTATTTTAAAACACAGACTAGATCCCCTTTAGAATTTAATATCTTAATGTCCTCTGTTGTGAAAACAACCTGCCCATAGATTTTGTTAATAGTATTGCAATAATTCCATTTCTGGGAATCTAACTGAAGGGAAAAAATTCTATTATTATTTATAATTGGGAAAAACTGGCAGTAACGTAAATGTCTAGGAAGAGAAGACTGTGCAAAGGTGGCACATGATCCAGATGGGTTCATGACACAATCACTCAAGAGTACTGATAATGTACTGTGAAAGTGTTCTGTGCGAAGTGACAAAAGCACTGTGTGTGGAGTCAATCCTGGCTAAGTCATATGCAATTCTGACTTGTCCGGCTTGTCTGACATAGTCGTGAAGTTAGTAGACACATAGGCACATATTTGCTTAAGTTGACTTCCATGAATATTTTAATATTTGGACCAAAAAGTCAGAAGGTACCTGCACAGTTTCCTGGGGATTAGGACATAGAGGACAAAGCAGGACTATGGTGATTAACATTATCCCCTCGAACTGATTTTTCAGTTCCTACAGAGCTTATAGGCAAAATCAAAATCCCCCTATTACATATTTTCATAGGGCCATGTACCTCTGCTTTATTTTACTTATCACAATTGTAATTTGTATAATTAATTAATGTCCGTCTACCCTTGTGGTCTACAAGTCCCATTATGGCAGGGCCTGTTTTGCACTACTATCTGACATGCAGTCATCATACTCAAGGAAAGGCAGAGGAGGGAAAGAGGAAAGAGAAGATAAAGGGGAAAGGGAGAAAGAAAGGGGGGTAAGGAAAGAGGGAGAAGCAGAAAAATTTTTATGAAGGACACAATGGGTCCAGGTGACAGCACACTATCGGACTGGGGGAACACACTTTCATTGCTTCCGCAGAGAACACAGCAAGGCCGAGAATCAGTGAAATCAACAGGAGTAGAGGGATGCCTTGGTACATGGCATCCCAGCAAGTCGGGATTCTCTGGCAGGACCAGCAGTGCAGAGACCACTGACAGATGCCCAGCAGGAATGTGGCAGGAGAGCAGCAACATACTGAGGCATGGACTTGCTCTTATATTCTCAGTAGCCTGAGGCCAGGGATACCTGGACATACGGGGAATGGGATGCGGAAATGCCCCCATAAGGCCCAAGTGTAGGTAGCCAGTAACAGGAGGTGTTAGTGCCAGCATGACCTGTTTATAACCTCAAGTGGTTATTGCAAAGGACATCTGATATGTTCAAAGACTAAAACCAAAGAAACGTTATCAAAATGGTCATGAATTCAATGGCTATGCTGGTTCCCCCCTCTAATGTTCCTAATTACTTTTATAATAAAAAGAAACACATAACAGGAAAACACTGTGTCTCATTTCAAGAATTGCTATTTTCTTTTAGAGAGGCTAAGAATTTTGTAATCCACCATTTCTGCCTTTTCCCCAGTTCTAAGAAAACTCAATTCTTGAGTTTAACCACAGCAATCATCAGTGTAGTAATCTAGATCATTGTTTTCATCTCATTCTACAGACCGAGAGCCATAAGAAAAAAAATTTTTTTTCTCCAAAACCTCTCTTGTTTATTCCTGTTGACCAGAATCTTTGCCATGCTGGGGAGGAAAATTTTTCCTCTACCCTTCAAAGTTTCTTCCAGCTGGTGCTAACAATTAAGTTGACATGAGATACATTAGCAGAAGAAAATCAAGTTTAATTTTGTATGTATGGGAACCCCACATACACGAGAGGTTCAAAGACAGAAAGGTAAAATGAAGTATATATGTCATCATGAGCTAAGGAATGGGATAGGGGCCTGGGGGTTCAAAGACAAGGAAGGCAATTCACAGGTTAATAAGAAAAAGCATATGTTTTAGATGTAATTAGATGTTTATATGAGATATGTTACTCAGATAAAATTTATCTTTGGTATTAACTCTAACTCTGGGAAAGACCTCGTTTAAATTCTTTTAGACAGTTAAGGGAATGGCAAAAAGTTTCTCTTGGGCCTGCAGGGTCTCAATTGTTCCGCTCAATTACCACATGCCAAAGTGGCACATTTTAGGGAGACTTGCTCTGAACCTCTTCAACCACGAGTTACTTCTTAAATATATACTACCCTCCCTATACTACTCACATTGTCTTATGTGTATTAATTACTTTTTCAACTAGACCACTGACTCTCAATGAGGGGTATAAAGAAGAGAAAAGGGATAAGAGGATAAAAGCATGGTCTGTCAGATGAGATCAACCTGGAGGTCCCTTTCTAAAGTACACAGCAGCTCACTTACACCATCCCAAACCAAAAGCATCACTGCCATTGTGGGATGACGTACTCATGGGAGCTGTTAATACCCTGGATGGGAGTTAGGAGGTAAAGAGAATTAACAAATAGCCAGTGGTGAGGATCACATTTTCACTAAGAGATGAATTTTGGAACCAAAAGCTTATTGGTTTCAATCCTAGATCTAACACTTAACCTAAGTTCTACATTCTCAAATGGAAATAAAATTACCTTTCCTTCAATAATGAGTATTAAATGTATCCTAAGTGCTGATAGAGCTCAGTAAATGCCCTTTAGGAATCATTTTTCAAGTAGACTTGGGAGATCCTTTACACCAGGGTTTCTCAATCTTGGTACCATTGACAATTTTAATGGACCAGTTAATTCTTAACTGGGAGGTATCATGGGCTAAGCTGTGTTCCCGGACCCTGCCATTAATATATTGACAGTGTAACTCCTGGTACCTCAGAATGTGAATGCATTTGGAAATAGGGTTTTGTTTTTTTTTTTAAGTTTATTTATTTATTTTTGAGAGAGAGAGAGAGAGAGAGAGAGAGAGAGAGAGCGAGCATGAGCAGGGGTTGGGATGAGAGAGTGGGGGAGAGAGAGAATCCCAAGCAGGCTCCACACTCTCACCGTGGGAGCCCAACACAGGGCTTGAACGCACGAACTTTGAGATCATGACCTGAGTCAAAATTTAGAGTCAGACACTTAACTGAGCCCCCCAGGCACCCCTGGAAATAGGGTTTTTAAAGTGATAATTAAGGTACAGTGAAGTGTCATGGATGGGCCCTGATCCAACATGATTGCTGTCCTTAGAAGATTATGACATAAATGTGTGCAAAGAGGAAAGATCATCTAAGGACACAACTAGAAGGTGGCCATCTACAAGCCCCAGAAAGAGATCTGAGAAGAAACTGACCCTAAAGACAACTTCATCTTAGACTGCTACCCTCCATGAACTGGCAGAAAAAAACTTTTTTTCCTTGTAAGTCACCCAGTCCATGGTACTTTGTTATGGCAGCTTGAGCAAAAACGCCACAGGGGTTACCCTGTGTGTTGCAGGATGTTCAGAAGCATCCTTGGTCTCTATCCATTCATACCAAGGGCAATCCTCTAACCCCACAGTTGTGACACCTAAAAATGTCTCCACAAACTGGCAAAAGCCCCTTAGGGGCAAAATCTTCTTTTCTGCCCTACTGAAAACCATCATTTCAGATGGCCCTCTGGTCACCTCTGTTTTCCCAGTGCTCAGCACAGTAACTGCTACCTAAGAAGATAATCAAATATTTACTGAATAGTCACTTGCCTATTTCCCTAACTTGGGTCTCACCACTCCCTTGCAGACTCCTTTGGCTGTGTCAAAAATAAAGAAAAAGAAACAACAGACCCAAGGTGGAGTCACTTGCCCCCACAACAGCAACTAAGACTTAGTTGCATTGTAGGAACGTGACCTTTAACCAATCCGGAATTTCCTGATCAGCACTAGTGAGGTGATCTGCATGAGAGACCACCTCCCCTTGCCCCAAAAGGAATTTGACTAAACCATCCTATATTTTCTTTTGCTAATGACTTCCTTGTCCCACCTCCTTTCTGCCTTTAAAAACATTCCATTTTGTACAGCTCCTTGGAGCTCCTTTCTACTTGTAGATGGGATGCTGCCTGATTCATGAATCCCTGATGTTGATCCCAATTAGATGTTCAAATTTACTTGTTTGGATTTTGGGGTTTTTTTGTTTTGTTTTCTTTTTATAGCTGCAATTAAAATAGTGATTATTTCCAGTTTAATTTATAGTGGATGTGCAATTTTTAATGAAACAGTTTTCATTTTAGCATAATTTCTGGCAATTCGGTAACATAAATATCACATCAGTGTTAAACCTTATTTTGCTTGATATTGCTCACTGACCTCACATCAGATCCTCTGGTCAATTTAGTGAGTGGTGCTACTTTTAGTTTCCTTAATGCACCACTCATAATTAAAAAAAATTTTTTTTTAATGTTTTTTTACTTATTTTTGAGACAGAGAGAGACAGAGCATGAGCAGGGGAGGGGCAGAGAGAGAGGGAGACACAATCTGAAACAGGCTCCGTGTTCCGAGCTGCCAGCACAGAGCCCGATGCGGGGCTCAAACCCACAGACCTTGAGATCATGACCCGAGCTGAAGGCGGACGCTTAACCGACTGAGCTACCCAGGTACCCCTGCACCACTCATAATGTAGCAGATGACATGACCATGACAAATTCTTATATAACCATTTGAAGCTCAGAGAACTCAAAAGGAAAACAAACGGCCATTTAAATGTGAAAACGCTGAACTCTAAGTCATAATGAGACTCCACACATTATCCAGAAACCCAAAAGCATACCAAAAAGCCAAAGTCAATGGAGACATTCTTTGCAAAGGGGAAGTCACAAATGTCTCTGGCACATTCATAAATTTGTTGTCTTAACACTGGCACGTGTACTGTCATGTTATTTGAAAGCGGATGTGTTTGGGCTGGGCAGTGATGTGGGGGCAGGGAAGGGACAGGAGGGCTGGCTCTGAGATGCCAAAGAGAGGCATTAGGAACTCTGGAAGGAACTGGGAACTGGTCTGGTGGACATTTTGCAGAGACAACAATTTCTGACCAAGCCCTTCCAATGATTTGTAGCTTGTGCTCAACTATTCACAAGACAGTTTTCAGGGCATTATTTTAAATTGATACAGAATCTATTCATTTACAAAATCCATTTATTGCATTCTTTTTGATTAATAGCTGGGATTCAGAGTGTTAAAAATTTGATTTATCCAAGTGAAAAAAAAAATAAAGACTAACATCATTTTGAAGTGCCATTTCTGAAGTATATGCTTGATGTTTCAAAGTTATTGTTCGTGACTTTAGGTTCCAGTACCCAACACCCTACTCCAAATAACAAACGACTACATTAAACTTGGGCAACGACCATCATGTAACTGCTGTGATGGGCATGCTGGCATCCGGGCATTAGGAGCTGACATTCACAAAAGAGGTGATTTATGATATCCTGCTTTTCCAGAAATACAGAGGCTCTTAACTCTTCAGCTGTTCCTTGTGGCAAAGAGGTTGAAAAGAATCATTTTCTCAAGTTAGTTTCTCCATGGAAGAGGAGAATGCCTTAAGGACATCCTGATTTAGAAACAAAACCACACAAAACTCCTTTGCCAACACGTCTGTGAACCTGCAAAGCTGGCGGATGTGTGGATGTATTTTTACAGAGAGAGGTTTTAGAGACAGGAGGTTAACTAACCAAGTGAGGATGTTCTGTTAACTTATTTTTCCCAGGAAAGACAAAAAAAAAAAAAAAAAAGAATGACAATCAGCTACTTATCATATTGAGAAGTTAACCCCTTCACTTGGGCATTTATGAACACGAAGTCTGCCTGGCAACCCACAGGGGCACACTCCACCCACCACACTGGAAACGTCAGCAAAGCCCACGCTAGTTCCTATTCCGTTTATTTCTCGGCTCGATCTCAGCACTCTCATCTGATCTTGTTCGACGATTGAACCTTGGACTCATTTCTGCGTCTTGAAGATCATTTCTGAAAATGTAAAAAAGGAAACAGCACCTTAGAAAATAACGATCATGATTCTTCCACGGCAGTTTCTAGTTAACATGTGCTTTCACGTGCACTGTTTCATTTAAACCTCCACATAGTCCTCTGCTCCACTGGCTAGTCTATTACAATAATAATTATTAGCATTTTTAAATACATTTTATAACTGACTTAGCAAAGATCACAGGCTGTAAGTGACAGAGGCAGGAATTGAACCCCTTTCTTCTGAATGAAAATCTAGAATAATTTTACACTTTGCTTAACATGAACAAAACTGGAAAAAAAAAAAAAAGTGCTCCTATCCTAACAAGGCAAAGTCAGAGCACAATGAAATCATTCTCCTAATCCTGAGAGCTGAGGTTGTAAGGCAACCAAGAAAACAAAATTCCAAAGAAAGATAAGCGCCACCAAAGAGAGATGGGCCACACAAGTTCTCACTTTTGACACAGCACCGGAGGAAGGTGGCTGTTGTACAACCAGGTAAGAGGTTATCAGCTGACATTTTAGTGAATTCTGAACTATGGGCTAGTACTGAAAGGCCCTAACACAAGGAGAGGCCACATGCACTTGCAAGCTCTTTTCCAGGAGCCTCCCTCAAATGCTCATGAGAAAAACTGGGAGCAGGGCAGGAGACTGAGGACAGCCCACTTTGGTGGCACTGGATAAAGCTGGTGAATGTGGGGACAGGGGTCAGGCAGAAAGCCCTACCTCTTCCTGGGATTGTTCTCTTCTATGAAGTGAAAGCTTTCAGTTGCTGAGGGAAACTGAATGTCCCATGGCAATCGGGCAAAGATCTAAGGTCTCTGGAGGAGGAGCGGAGGTAAAATCAACGAGCATTGAAGGACAGGAAATCAACCTGCACTGAAGGACAGGAAATCAATTGCAAGAACACTGGCAAAGATACTTTCCTGCCGAGGAAATGGTAGAAATAAAAGCCTCTACCTCTGGAGGAAGGGCAGAAAATCATCTTAGGCTGATGTTCTCAACACCAAGCAGAGCCTGGGTCAAGGCAGTCTGACAACCACGGGAGGGAGAGGGGGTGGGCAGAGAAAGCTCCGCCCACAAGATCCAGGCACATGGGGCCTGCCAGAGGCCTGCCAGAGACCACAGCTGGAACAAGAAAGAGAGAGCTCCAGCGGGCCCCCACCAGGAGCCAAGCACCAAGTATTAGGGAGTAACAGTAAACTGCTGAGGGAGAGGTATGGACATGGAGAGAGGCCCTTCTGGGAGGCAGGCATGCAGACAAGGCTGAAAGGTCAATGGAAACAAAAGCAGTGAACAAAACCTTTCTACAACCCAGCCCCCACACTAAGCACAAGGTAAAAGTAGCCCACTTGTTGAAGATCTTGATGCCTCTGATATCCACTGAAGGTCATGTTAGGAACAAGGGAATTCCAACCTGGGTCAACTCCCCACACTAATGGCCTGACAGAAGAAGCAAGCCTGTTTCCATGTGGAAACACTATTTTAACTCAGTATCTACGGCCCTTCACAGTATGTCTAGCATCCATGCAAAATGTACAAATGCACAAAGAAAAAAAAACAATAAGTCCATCGTCAAGAGATAAAGTAACCAACAGAAAGACTCACATGTTGAAAACTTTAACCAACTAATTAATATGATAAAGGCTCTAGGGAAAAGCTGGAGAACATACATGGAGAGATGTTTAATGGGTGGCTCTGAAAGACAAAGGTCATTATTGTCCCTCCCTCATGGTACCTCCCAGAGTCTAAGAGGTTCCTCCCCAGGTGTCAACACTGCTGCTTTCTCCACCTCCACAAAATTAGCATGTTCCTTTTTCTTAGCTGTAACTTTACCTTTTCTCCACTAATCCCCTACCACACACAGTCCTTTGACCAGGAAGAGTCAAGCTTAAGAGGAATAAGAACATTTTCATTAAACTTTTCAGAGACTCATTATGTTCCCCACTTTGACCCATGTGGGCCAGAGCAATAAGACTCGGTGGGTCGTATACCAAGACAAGTGCTTACTATTTTTGATTTAGGACAGGGGTTGGCAAACTTTCTGTGTAAATGACCAGATATTTGGGGCTCTGAGGGCCATATAGTCTGTCGCAACTCAATTCTTATAACAGAGAAAGAACCACAACCAGGAGATGTATGTGGCAGACAGTAGGCCAGATGCCCTGACCTAGAACCACGGCATTCCAGCAAGTGAATCCAACAAGCTTAACCAGAATTAAGTCTGAATTCTCTAGGACCCCTCTTGGCCAAGCTGCCACCCAGAGGGTGTACCAATCTGGCCAGTATATGGTTGCCATTAGGAGAAAGAAAAAAGCATCATGCCTAGGAATAGCTGAGGAACCCTGGGTTTCTGAAATAGGTCAATATAACCCAACATGCTTTTTGCCCTAATCATTACCCAGAAAGCGACCCAAAGATAATTCCTTTCTGGGGACAGCAGCATTCAGTGACCAAACTTCCTTACTAAGTTGTGTGGACCAGGAGAAGGTGAGGGAGTTGGTATTTTTAAAGGAGGCCATTTCAACATTAGACGCCTGTGGATTATAGGGAGGATAAAAGGTCGAGTGAATCCCTTGACCATCAGCCCATTATTGATTCCAGGCATTCTCTTTGGCGAATGGGCTCTTATTATTGATATGTTCATGAGTAACCTAGATGGTTCAGTTAGCACCTGTCAGGCTTGTTAGTCTCAACACGGGGGATCTGCCAATCTGTGGCCTTCATGATCACGTTTATGATGTGTTCAACCTTAGTTACGTCTTTAAAGGCTCCATCTCCAAACACAGTCACATTGGAGGTTAGGGCTTCAACATATGAATTTTAGGGGAACACAATTCAGTCCATAAGAGCCTCCATGGACCAGGCCATTCAGTTGTTGTTGTTGTTGTTGTTGTTGTTGTTTTTAAGTTCATTTATTTGTTTTGAGAGAAAGAGAGATCACAAGAGAGAGGGAGAGAAATAATCCCAAGCAGGCTCCACACTGTCAGTGCAGAGCCTGATGTGGGGTGAGATCATGACCTCAGCCGAAATTAAGAGTCAGGCACTTAACTGACTGAGCCACTCAGGCACCCAGGCCATTCAGTTTTGATGACAAGAACCTAGTAGCAAGCAAAGAGCTGTTTTTCAGAAGGTGTATAGCTGGTAGCTATGTGAGGCTGGACACAACTCCAATATCCCAAAGGGTGCCTCTAGCTGAAGGCCGCCTCCCTTTGTCAGAGGCTCCAATCAGGAAAATCATTAGTTATAAAGACTTGTAGCTCTGAGGGGTCATTAGGGTTGTGGGAATGCAAGGGTATTAGCACTTGTCTGTGTGTGCCTCTTCCTTATCAGAGAATTTGCTCTGGCACTTACCGGATGGGGAACTATAAGTACACAACACATCAATTCCCACATACATTCAAATTTAGAAACAACAATAGTACAATGAATTAGCCCAAAGGACCCCACCTACAAGGTCACATTAGCTTCCCCATGGTGAACCTTATCCAAACCCCACAAAATGAACTCAGGCACTTCCTTTCTGCACAGGACAGGGCAGGGTGGTGAATCTGGTACTTATATCCAGCAGAGCCATCAAATCCCTTCCCAAAGTTCAGCAATACATCCAGACTGGTACAGACAGACTTTCATCTCCCTTAGGGACAGGGGAGCCTCAGCTCCACTTCCCATCAATAAAGCTAGAATAGCCAAAACAATTCTAAGGAAGAAAAATTTATACTGACCATGATAAATGCTGATAAGGATAAGGAACAAGAAAAATTCTCATTCACTGCTGGTAGGAATGCAAAACGGCACAGCCATTCTAGAAGAAAGCTTGGCATTTTCTCACAAAACTAAATATAGTCTTACATACAAATCCAGCGATTACACTCCTTGGTATTTTCCCAACTGCACTGAAAACTTATGTCCACACAAAACCCTGCACTTTCTTTTTATTAAAATATAATAATAAACAGCACTTTATTCATAATTGCCAGAACCTGGAAGCAACCAAAATGTCCTTCATTATAAAACTGCAGCAATGAAGACAAGGTGTTGTTGGTGAAAAGACAAACATATAGATCAACAGAACAGAACAGTGATTCCTGAAATAGACCCACACATATATATTCAATTGACTTTTGATAAAGGCACCACAGTTATTAAATCGAGAAAGGATAGTTTCTTCAATAAATAAAGCTAGAGAAAATGGAAACCCACATGTAAAGAAGAAAAATTGAACCTCAATGCTTATTGTGCATCATTTATAAAAATTAACTTGAAATAGGGGGTCCTGGGTGGCTCAGTCAGTTAAGCGTCGACTTTGGCTCAGGTCATGATCTCCCGGTTTGCGAGTTCGAGCCCTATGTCAGGCCTGGAGCCTGCTTCAGATTCTGTGTCTCCCTCTCTCTCTGACCTTCCCCCGCTCGCACTCTGTCTATCTCTCTCAAAAATAAATAAAACATTAAAAAAAATTTTTTTAATTAACTTGAAATAGATTATAGACCTAAATATAAACCCTAAAATTTCCAGAACATAATTGAAAACCATTGGGTTAGGTAAAGATTTCCTAGGTAGGACATAACAAGCACAAAATATAAAAGAAAAAAAATGATTAAATTAGATTTCATCAAAATTTAAAACTGCTCTTTGAAAAACACTATCAGGAAAATGAAAAGGCAAGTCACAAAGTGGAAGAAAATATTTGCAAAATACATTTCTGACAAAAAAGTCAGAAATTTCAAAAGTAAAAAACCACCCAATTTACAAAATGGGCAGAAAATGTGAGGAAGCATCTCATCAAAAGACAGGGATGGCAAACATGCATGTGGAAGGAAGTTCATTAACCTTTACAGAAATGCAAATTCAAATGACAATGAAATACTGCTATAGATCTATTAAAATGGCTTTTTAAAAAAACATCATCATCAAGTACTGGCCAAGATACAGAGCAACCAGAACTCTCACTCCTGGTGGAAAACAGCTGGGCAGTTTCTTATCAGTTGAACATACACTTGGTATATGATGCACTAATGCCAGTCACGCTAAGGTATTTACCCAAGAGAAATGAAAACTTACATCCACATAAAAAACTGCACTCAAAAGCTTACAGCAGTTTTATTCATGATCCCCCAAATCTGGAAACCACCCAAGTGCCCATCAGCTTTTGAATGTGGTACAATCTTACAAAGGAATACCAGTCAGCAATGAAAAGGAACTACTGATAGATGAAAAATATGGATAATTCTCAAAAGGGTTATGCTAACTGAAAGAAGCTAGACACAAACAACTACGTTATTATTCGGTTCCATTTACAGAACATACTGGAAAAAGAAAAAACTGTTGGGACAGAAGGCAAATCAGTGGTTGCAGGAACCAGGAAGGAGACTGAATACAAAAGGGTACCAGACAATGTTTTGGTGTGATGGAAATACACTATATATCAACTGTAAATAGTGGCTACATTGCTATAAATGTTTATCAAAACTCATAGAACTGAACACCTAAAACCGGCAATTTTTATTATCAAACCTCAATAAACCTGATAGAAAAAAGAAACACCCACAGGCTCACTCTGCCTTTAGCCTGTTTGGCTCCCCAACCAAAAAGGACAGAGCGAAGCAAGGGCCACCCACGATAATTATTTGATGAGCTTTGGCTCCTATTGCTCTTAGGTGGTTTACCTTTCCCGCCATTTTTCTCATCTAACTCTAAGGGCTTTTTTGTTTTTATCTTTTTTGCTTCATATATTTGGGGCTCTGTCATTAGGTGTGTATATACTTATAATAATGTCTTCTTGGTGGACTGACTTTTTTATCATAATAAAATGTCTCTCTCTGTCTCCAGTAACAATCTTTGTCTGAAAGTCTATTTTGTCTGATATTATTATGGCTACACCAGACTGTTGGCATATCTTTTTCTATGCTTTTTAACTTATTTGTGTCTTTGAATGTAAAGTGTATCTTTGGTAGACAGTGTATACTTGGATCATGGTTTGTTTTTAAATCCATTCTGCCATTCTCTTTTAACTGAAACAGTTAATCCATTTATACTCAATGTATAGGATTTATGTGTGCCATTTTGTTGGTTTCTATGTCATATGTCTTGTGTTCCTCTATTCCTTCATCACTGCTTTCTTCTGTGTTATTTTCTAGTTTATCATTTAATTCCTTTGTCATTTCTTTTACTGTATTTTAAAATTTACTTCCTTAGTGGTTGCCCTGGGGATTATAATTAACCTATTAATTGATAACAACCTAGCTCAGATTAATAACACCCTAACTTCAAAGGTATTCCACAACTTTGTTTCTATATATAGCTCTGTTGCTTGCTCCCACCTTTTTGCTACTGTCATACAAATTACACTGTGTTTATCAACAGAGACTTAGAATTATTGCTTTGCACAGTTCTCTTTTAAATAACACAGTAACAACAAACTACATCTTTTATATTAACCTATACTTTTATATTTACCTTTACTGGTGCTCTAAATTTTTTCATATGGATTCAAGTTATTGTCTAGTGTCCTTTCCTTTCAGCCTGAAAGACTCTGTAATATTTATTATAGGACATATTTCCTAGTAACCAATTCCCTCAGTTTTTGGTTCTCTAAGGTCTTGATTTTTCCTTCGTTTTTGAAGTACAGTTTTGCTAGATATAGAATTCTTGGTTGGCGGTCTTCTTCTCTTAGCACTTTGAATATGTCTTTCCACTGCCTCTGGCCTACATGGTTTCTGATGAAAAATTACCAAATTCCTTGGAATGAGCTGCTTCTCTCTTGATTCTTTCACAATTTTCTGTCTTTGGGAAGTCTCGTGAGCTTCTTGGATGTGTAATTTTTTTCTTTACATTGGATTTAATAAGTTTTCAGTCATTATTTCTATACATATTCTTTCTGCCTCTTTCTCCTCTCATTATAAAGACTCCCATTATGCATGTGATATACTTGACAGTGTCTCACTGGTCTCTGAGACCATACATTATTCTCGTCTGTTTTCCTTTCTGTTCCTTGGACTAAGTACTCTCAACTGATCTATCTTCAAGTTTGCTGATTCTTTCTTCTACCTGCTTAAATCTGCTGTTATCTCATTAGTGAATTTATTTTAGCTGCTATGCTTTTCAATTCCAGAATTACTATTTTTTTCTAAACAATTTCTATTTCTTTATGAGTATTCTCTATTTGGTGAGACACTTTGTCATACTTCCCTTTAGGTCTCTGAACATATTCAAACCAGCTGATCTAAATATCGAACAGTCCAATGTCTGAGTTTCCTCAGGGACATTTTTATTGGTTGCTTCTTCCTCCTGTGTATAGGCCACCATTTGTTTCTTTGTATGTTTCAATTTTTTTGTTGTTGACAACTGGACATTTTATTTTATTTATTTTTTTTCTCAACGTTTATTTATTTTTGGGACAGAGAGAGACAGAGCATGAACGGGGGAGGGGCAGAGAGAGAGGGAGACACAGAATTGGAAACAGGCTCCAGGCTCCGAGCCATCAGCCCAGAGCCTGACGCAGGGCTCGAACTCCCGGACTGCGAGATCATGACCTGGCTGAAGTCGGACGCTTATCCGACTGTGCCACCCAGGCGCCCCTGGCAACTGGACATTTTAAACGATCCACTGTGGCAACTCTGGAAATCAGATTCTCCTTCCCCAAGGTTTGTTGACATTGCTATTTGCTACTGTTGTTTAGTGACTTTCTGAACTAACCCTGTAAATATGCATTCTTGGTTGTGTGTGGGTGGCCATTTACATGTCTGCTAGGTGAGTTTAGTGGTCAGCTAATGGGAGTTTCCCTAAACATCTGGAATCGACATAACACAGAACCCCTTGGTAAAACCCAAGGGACTCTATGCATGCTGGGGCAGGCATCCAACACTTGGTTAACAACTCTGCCTTATGCATTTAAGAAAAAGAAGAAGAAGAAAGTAAAGAGGGGCAAAAAGAAAGGGAGCATGAGAATCCCAAGCAGGCTTGGCATCATGAGCACAGAGCCCAACGTGGGGATGGATCCCGGGAACCATGAGATCATGACCTGAGCTGAAATCAAGAGTTGGATGCGTAACTGAGGGAACTACCCAGGTGCCCTAATAAAAGGAGGAATAAAATGTGTGCAAACATAAGCAGATTTATATGTTTGGTGTTGGAAAGATGAGGACTACTATACAGTGGGTTCTATTCTCTCTACAGAGGAGGAGAAAAGATCTCCCGCTGGGGGTGGAGCCATTGCAAAGAGCCAAGGTTTCAAATAATCCCTGTGAGGAACAGGACAAAGAAATGATCACAGAAACAGTAAAACTGCCAGGCAGTTTTGAGGGCCCATTGAAGGGTAATCATGAAGTTATAATGGAACAAAGCCACCCCGCTGTACTGCAGATCATCACTCCTGCAGGTGAAGATGAATGAAAATCTAATGCTTGTCCCTGTTCCTTTCCTCCTTACTTATCAGCAGGACCTGGAACAAGTCCCCTCCACCACTCCCATTTCCCAGACAGATTCCTAAGGAGAAGGAGAAGGAGAAGGAATCAAACTGCATTTATTCTACACTAAACACGTCTTATGACCAGGAACATCTAGGAAAGGACTGAAAGTTTTCTTAGCACTCTGAGCCAGTGCTTAAGGCTAAACTGTGAATTTCTCATTGGAACAATTTGTCTTTAGAAAAACAACTTCTGACAAGTGACCAGAATTATTACACTGGGATTCCATTTCCAAGCAGAAATGTATAGAAACAAGTAGCAAGCTAGAAATCTTTACCTTAATGTGTGTGAATTACTACTTCCTTAGGTCAGAAAGCACAAATACTCTTTTATTTGAAAATGAACTGCGTGGAATTACAATTTCTCAAAGCACATGCTTACTTCTTGATGATGAACACTCACTTATGTAATGCTTCCCAGGCTTCCTCTTCTTCTAGAAGATCTCTTATGATGTCTGAACTAGAACTAAAAGGAAAGGCACATCAACACTGCCAGACGATAAGAAGACCATACAGTTTTATTTATATGAAATTCTAGAAAATGCAAACTTCTCTATAGTGACAGAAAACAAACCAGCAGACCAATGATTACCTCCTGGGGGCAAGGGGGTGGGCGAGGAGGGATTACAGTGTCACAAGGAAACTCTGGGATCTTCATTGTGAAGATGATTTCATAGCTGTGTACATGTATCAAAACTCATCAAAATGTGTGCTTTAAATACTTGCAGTTTATTATACATCAATTTCAATACAGGTATAGAAAACTCAATAAATTAGCAAAAATAAAGAAAAAAATCATCAAACCTCAAAAAATCCCTCAACATAAAACCTGCATTCAAATGGAATACAATAAGAGCCTTTTTAATCTCCTATGGCAACCAAAGATCAAACTGTGTTTTAAAAACCTCACTCTAGTAATGAGATTCACAAAGAGACATTAAGTTCCTAAGTGGCTTTTAGTCCTTTGTAACCAAAGTAAAGTAAAATTTAATTAATTTGAACTGTGCTAATAGTGGAATTCGTTACAATGCAACCTAGTTTGAAGTGTTGTGTGATCTTTGGTTTATCTGTGTAGGGTACAGGGTAAATAAGGTTAGAGAGGGCATGTATTATTTCTTTAAAGGAAAAAACTGTTTTAAGGCTTTTAGCATCTTGTTCTTACTCAAATTCCTACCAAAAAAAAAAAAAAAAAAGATGTACATCAATAGCGAAAAAGCATTTCTTTAGACATCTAAGACAAAGAATGTGAAGGGCATGACATAGGACAACTGAGAAACAGCAGTCACTACCCCAGGGTGGAGAAGGCTAAAACCAAAGAAGAACTTGCTCTGGGGTGAGAAACAACAGGTTTGTCAGGGCCAATCATTATCTAAGGAGACTCTGATAACAAAAGTTTAAAAATTAAGGAGACTTAAAGTGGCAGTGAATCGTTCTCAACAACTGACAAATCACTTGGAAGCAATGTTTGCCTGTGGTACATGAACAAAAAAGGCACCAAGCATCAATCAATACTGTTCTGTGCCAAATATTTTACTCCAGGGGTTCCCCCCCTCCCAAATCCCAAGACTCTCAAGGAGCCATATGTAGGAGCCTTTCTGACTATGGTTCCTGTGTATAATGACCTGGTTGGGGGTGGTGGGGGGGATTCCATTTGCATGACAGGTGTAGTGACCTTCCAATAGAGCTAGTTCAGAGGTTCTCAGGTTCAGGATAAGGATCCGCATATGGGAACAGCAATACTTTTCAGTATTTGTGGCTTGAGAAAACACATAATAACAAAGTATTATAAATTTAGTAATACTTTTAGTCTATATTTTATTCATTATAGTGACATATGCAGTGAAAAAACAGTAGTACCTGAATTTGTGAGACACTCTTTATTATGTCTAAAGATAATTCTTGATACGTATGTGCTCTTACACATCCAGTGAATCATTCCTTCAAGGTCCAGGCTTGGGAAGCACTAATCTAAAGTGTTAGTATATAAGCATCTACTACTTTTTTACATTTGAGAGTGGCCCCTGTGTAAATCCAAGTGCCCTGGAAAATAATAACATTCATTTATCACTGGTAATTTTTATCTTAGTGTAAACTGCCTTAAAACAAGCTTTCCCCTTAAACAGCGAGCTAAATGTAGTTTTTATTAGCAGGCAAGAGAGAAAAGCAGAAAGCCCTTAAGGAGACACAAGGCAGACTGCACCAACTTTATTAATTTCCTAAGAGACACACCCACATCAACACTTGCTAGAGCAGGCTAATATCCAATGCCACCTCTACTCCCACAGAAGTGGTCTAACCTTTCCACCCCCAACATCCCAACTTCTGTTATTACTTACTTCCCTTTCAAGTACTCCAACTTTAAAAACAACAGGGAAGTTGTTTTAACGTAACTTTTTCTTTCTCTTCTCTCTGTTACAATGATACCATCATCTACTCTTCTTTACCTGGACAGAGCTAAGGCAGTATTTCTTAATTCTTTTCATTATTGCCTCCCACCCCCATCAGAGCTTTTTTAGACATTTTTTTTTCCTAATTACCCTTCCGTGAAATTTTAATACTGAAAATGTGTATCCATTTATATATTGTACATTAGTATCTGTGTGTGTATGTATGCTTTACACACAGAGGTGTTTTTTTTTTCCATCCAGCCTTCCTGCTGTCACAACCAAGTCCTGTCCTGTTCGGGGCCCCCCCCGCCCCCCCCCCCCCCCGCCCCTCCCAGGGAGCTCCTACCGAGAACCCATGAGCTAAGGGAATGCTCATGCAGCTCTGGGTCCTGGTAGGTTTCACAGGGCCAGAAAAAATAAAGTGTGATTCTTACCAACACCCCCAATACACACATACAATTTTATTTTTGAACAGGAAGGTTACAAACCATCCCCGCTGTTCCGGTAAGTAAGCAGGACAGCTGAGCCTGTCAAGCAACCAAGCAGTCTAGTGATCAATTTACCTAGGGATTTCAAATCACCAGTAGAAATCACTGATTTGTTAAAAGAAAATATTTGCGGTACATTAGTGACATAAACCTAAGCAGCTTTTGTCACTAATGTACCGCAAATATTTCACTACCTCAGTGAAAACAGATGGTAGAGGAGGTTCGCAAAAAACACATCTCAAAAGTGGTCTGCAATCTCCTTGTGTTCTGTGACTTCAAAACCTCTGACCGGCCACACCACCCAGCCTCCCTACCCCCGACATCCTCATTTCTTGCCACCTTCCCTTCCACTCCAGCTTAGTCACTAATCTGAGGGACACAAAATTCGACAGGTCTGGAGCTTACCTACAATGATGTTTCAGGATTATTTGCTATGTCTGCTATTCTAATTCTAGTCACCTCTGAGAAACTGAGAGCAGACACTAACACAATTAAAACAATGGTCATTCCTTCTTAAAATAATGTACTCACCATATTCTACTTAAAAGCCACATTCCTGAAATTACTCTTTAGGGTTTCACAAATAGGATTTTACAAACAGACTACTGGGCACAACAGTCAGTGTGTCTAAAATTAACACTCTCAGATCTCTTTCTTATGGATAGTAATTAATATTTTTGAAATCTTAACCATTTTAATATGCCTTGGAGATCAATAATTCCTTTCATATACTTTAAAGACATCTAAAAAATTCTCCACAGGAGAAAATAAATTATTCACTCTGGTATACCTGGGGTCAGAGCATATACGAGCCTGTACAGCTATAGCTTTTAATTCTCAGGCAAGGAACTTTTTCGGAATAAATTTTAGCTCCTCTACTATGTGGGTTTGGAACATTCTGTAGATCATACTTTAAGAAGCTGGATGGGGCGCCTGGGTGGCTCAGTCAGTTAAGCGTCCAACTTCAGCTCAGGTCATGATCTCACAGCTTGGGGTTCGAGCCCCACGTCAGTCTCTGTGGTGACAGCTCAGAGCCTGGAGGCTGCTTCGGATTCTGTGTCTCCCTCTCTCTGCCCCTCCTCCACTCACGCGCTCTCGCGCTCTCTCTCTCTCTCTCTCTCTAAAATAAACATTTAAAAAGTTAAAAAAAAAGAAAAAAAAGAAGAAAGAAGCTGGATGAATATGAAGTCAGGTACATGGAAGTCAGAGCTCCCCAGGTAAGGGTGTTTAAACTATGCTTTCCGAGGTTACCAACAGTCCAGGCTAAAGCAAAAATTATTCTATAAATTAAATACACGTGAGAAGGACTCACAGGCAAAAATGCTAACCTTGCATTCTATGGAATTCCCAGCCTCTGTTCAGGAAGATTCTAGTAGATCTATTTAGAACACCCACCCTTAATTTTTCATGCCATTTAACCTTTATTTTCAGCTCAAACTTCCAGAAACTTGAGCTAAACTGCTGTTTGTTGGTCTTCAACCTAGCTGGTCTTCCTATATAAAACCTTACTCTCGTTATTCTCTTACCAAAAGCGGTAGCGCAACATTTTAACAGGCAAAGGAAAACACTTTTTGCATGTTTCTTTTGCAGCGTCTTATTTCACCTTACTAGTCAAGATTTTACCAGCAAAGCTGAAATGTAAGATGCCTAATACCTCTGGCAAAGGTATGACTGATTGAGACTACCCAGAGGAGAAGAAATCACAGATTGTAGTGTCAAAGAGGGTCCAGTTTCAGTGCTGTTTCTGTCACTGCATGTGTAATACTGGGCAAGATACTTAATCTTTCCAAGTCTCAATATTCTCACCTGTAAAGCCAAGACAGTAACACATGCAGTTCACAGGGATATTCTAAGATTCATCAATAAAACATATAGAATGTTTAGCATAGAGCTTAGCACATAGTAAATGTTCAATAAATAAAGCTTCCGTTTTCATAAAACAAAGCTGGGTCTGAATTACACGAGTAACTGCCTCAGCACTACGCTTCCATTTGCCCTAGGAAACCTGGTCACCATGTGCTCTATTTTAATCTTTGATTTGCACTGTTTCTATGACACCAAGGTACCAATTCATCAGAACTTGTTATTTATCCAGCATGGCAGGTACACAGGGTACTGTAGGGCAGAAAAAAATGCAAACATTTGCTATAAGAATCCTGTGGATTAAAGATTACTTACGAGTGGGATTTTTCTATTATCTGGTAGTTACTCCACACCATACGACCCCCCCCCCCACCAGCCCAACTCTTCTAATTGTCGCATTAACTTGAGCGTGGTTGAGCGTATCAAACTCAAAAACAAAAACAAAACACTCCTTAAGGATAGATCACTGGAGGATTGATAGAGAACAAACAATGCCACCAGACAATGGTACTTAACTAAATGCTGCCAGCTACCATGAATCCTTCTTCATATGCTTATTTTTAGTAATCTGTTCTTATTCTACAGGGTAAGCAGCAGCTTATACGCCTAATATGTTAGTAGCTGGCTGACAATAACATGTTAGAACAGTAAACATCCTATGTTCAAGAAAGAAATCACTCGGGGTGCCTGGGTGGCTCATTCAGTTAAGCCTTGATTTGGAGGCAGGT